TTATTATTATTATTATTATTATTATTATTATTATTATTATTATTATTATTATTATAAAAGGCTCAAGAGGAGTATAAAAACCTACTACTCACATGTGCTCAGTCCTTTTTTCTCTCCTCTTTCCTGCCAGAACCATCTTTCTGTCTGGCTCTTCAATAAATTGCAACCTTCTTTCTAAAGCAGTCGCCATGTTGTTTATTTATCCCCCCCTTGGATGAACCAAGATGGAGACTTTTTTTTCCACAGTGGCCTCCTATCAAGTATCGCTAAATCCCATTCTACTTACAAGTAGCTTCCAAGCCCAGACAGGTTTGACCAGATTTAACATATGCATACTGAGACAAAATGTGTAACAAAACTTTAAAGCCAAATAGAGATTGTTCATACAATTTTGAAAAAACAACAATTTCCTAAACAAATAAGAGGATCCCAGACACTATCTGAAAGTTTCTAGGGAAGTGACTATGTTTGTCTTTTGCAAAACCAGAGTCTTAGGATCACCTAGAGATTAAAACACTTCCTATTGCATAACCTTTGGTGGTTAAAGCGGACCGTAATCCAACAAAGCGTTCCAATAATTTGATTTTAAAGATAATTCAGGTGCCACAGGACTTTATGTCCTTTCTGAAAGATATACGTAGATTTCACTGTTAAATGGACAAAACTCTTTTCCCATAAAGGGCTCCCATCTTTCTTAACATCAAACTTCATCTTCATGGCAGTCTTAACAAAGTTAAGATTGTCCAAAGAAAGGCACTTCCAGTTTTTCAGTTTTGCCATTTTTTCTCTAAGAAAACCTACAATGTTCTCTTTTTCTTGCGTCCGTTTCTATTGTACCCCAAACAAGTCGTGGCTATGGAAGTGAAATCAATAACGCCCTCCTGTTTTCAATTTCAACTGTAATATTTCATAAACTTCCCGCCTTCTCATGCATATTCAAAGCGGGAGGGCGGTCCAGCAAGGAGAAAGATGCCTCGCATCCGAATGAAAGCTGCTGATCGCTGACGCGCCATCACACCACGAGCCGCTCTGTCCGCTGATTGGACAGTGGAGACCTGGTCTCATGGACAACCAGCCGCGCGCGGCGGTGGCTCCTCGCAGGTGGATGGGTGGAGTTCGCAGAAGTTAGAGCAAGATGGCGCCGATTGGGGATCTGAGCCCGGAGAACCCGAGCTGAAGCAGCAATCCCCGTCTGGGGAAGGGTTAATGCGGGGGTGGGGGTATCGCCGCTCCCTCTGACGAGGTGACTCGCCCTCTTAAGAGGTGACTCGCTGTAGCTGAGTCGGGCGTGCTTCGCCAGCAATGGAAAACGGCGAGCTGAGCAGCATGGAGACTATGGAGACCCTGACGGAGCTCGGCGACGAGCTCACACTGGGCGATATCGATGGTGAGTGCACACGAGGCGGGCGCTCGGCTGTGCCCACTATCGCCCCCCTCAGATATAGCAACCGCGGAGGAAAGGGAAGGCGCTGCTCGGTGCGGCTCTGCGGACCCGGCCCAGAGGGGCGAAGTGCCGCTAAGTGTATTTGCCTATCGGCCACCGATGCACAACTATCCCGATTTAAATGGCTGGGGATTCCCAGAGCAGCCTCACACATGAATTGGCAGGTTTTTCCCAGTGCGTGTAGCATGCAACGCCGTAGTTAGTTTTCGGTCTACCCCAATACTTATCCAAATTCAGATGCCTATCATTTAGGATAGGAAATTTGAGAGTTATTTTTTAGATTAAATTTAAGGTATGCTTGCGATACAACACTATGCATCCTTGCTTCGGAATAAATACATTGTTTGAGCAAGGGTGTGTATTTGTATATATAGGATTGCAGGGCAACGCAGTGTATCCTTATTTGGAAGTAAGTTCCCTCAAATTCAGTTGGCTTTATTGTTTAACATTCATGCCTAGGACCTTCTTAGATCTATTCCAGTTTTAGGCATCTCAAAATGGGCTTAGAAGACAGAAATAATATCTAGAATTGCAGGTTTTATCAGAAGCCCTTGTGCATTCCCTTAAATATTAGTGGAGTAGTTTATTTCAGTTGTATTTCTTGGCATGTGATATTGACACTTATGAAATATGGAGTGCATTCATCCAGTGACAAAGAACAGTAAAAAGTTTATATGTGAATCTGTATGATTTGTGAGTGCTTGGGACTGGAAGGTTTTATGAAAATTTATTTAAGAACATCTATATGGCCGTCCAACACACTCTCAGTGACTCCTGGCAGCTTACAAAGATTAAAAACCCAATATAAAAAGAACAAAAAAGCAACAATCCCCCACCCCCCTAGTGACAACAATCAATCAATCAATCAATCAATCAATCAATCAATCAATCAATCAAATAAGCCACTTGATCTATCTGTATCAAAATGATACAGAGATAATTTGGGGGAAAATTTGTCATTTTGGCAGTCAAAATTATGAAGTATACAAGATTTTTTGGGCATGACCTGAATGAACAATTATTTTAATCTGATATTTAAATGTAATATAATAAGTGTAGTTAACGGACTATGGTCCGGTGAAACCATAGTTTAGAGAAGACTTGGACCACATGCAATGAGTCAAATCTGCCGATTTGCATTATGACATCATACAAATGATGTATGGAGTCCTTGGTGCTCTCTGAGCTTGGTTGTTTTCATTACCCAACTAGGTAACATTTTCAGTGCAAGAAGGAAATGGGGTTTGATCTCTGTTTATATTGAGTGTCTTGCCAGGTCAGTATTGTGGGAGTGGTTAATGAAATGTCTGCAAGAAAATAACCAAGCTCAGAGAGCACCAAGAACTCCACAGTTCAACACTGAGCTACAAGTATTATTTTCTGTTGGTAACAAATGTCATATTTTGTATCGTTGGAATGATGATACCATAAGATAAATGATGCATTATGCAAATTACTCATAATGGTCTATTTTCTGTTTAATGGATATTGGTGAACAGTGACATCCTCTCTCCTAATTAGTCTGTTAAAAATGGTTACCGGTAGCTATCTGTTATATTAAATATAATAATTTGATGGCAACTTTTAGACACACTCAACTTTCAGAGGTTGCATATAATCACGAAGTCTCAGATTTAAATAGGAAAAAGTACAGTATGTACCAAAATTGCCTGGATATAAGGAACATATAAAAACTAATACTTCAGGCAGGCAAAGAAACCTCTGATTAAGATTACTAATATTAACATTAATATAGTTATCCTCTCTTGCATTTATATGTTGCTTCTGTATTCCTAATTTTTATAGCTTATTTTTTTCAGTGACATTTGAATTAATCTAAATTTAAAATCCTAAGGTACAATTTGGCCAATTAATGTCACGTCTTTTTTGCCTAACCTTTAAAAAAGGTGGTACAGTTTATTTTCTCTGCCCAGTTTTAGCATGAATCAAAATATTATTTCTTAACATTAACATTTGAATTTTCTTTTGCTAAAAAACCAAATTTCTGCTTGCAGTGACTTGACTCGCCTTTACACATTTATGATTCTCCTTTTTTTATTCATATATCTTCATGTATTTTATATGTGAATGGGGAATATATTCTGTTTGCTAACAAAAAACAAGTTTGTACTTGAAATGTAGCTTTCAGAGTCAAAGCACTTAATCAAATAGCTGAAAAGGAGTAGAAAATAAAAATATTTTTAAAAAACAAGTTCTGTGTTAGATGTGTTTGTTTTATAAATTGCTGAGACCGAAAATTTTTACTTAGTGCCAACAAGTCTATATATGAGGTCCTTGGGTTACGTCCACTTGTTCAGTGACTGTTCAGTTACAGTGATGCAGTACAAAGTTGAAGTTGTGGCCATTACAGTGCCCAGAGGTCATGTGATTGTGGTTCAGTGTCTTGGCAACTGGCTCACAGTTATGATGGTTGCAGCATTCCATGGTCATGTGATTGCCATTTGTGACTTTCCTTGATTGGTTCCCACAAAGTCAATGGGAAGCCAGCAGGCGGTTACAGGTCACTCCTGCTCCTACTACTTTTTCTCCCAGAAGCCCCGAGACAGCATGGGGATCTCATGCTCCGCAGCACCTGTCCGTGGAACCCCACCATCGGCTGCACTCTAGCACCAACTCACAAAATTTGCCAGCACTTTCTAAGAGACTATACAATGTATTTTGTCCTTGCTCAGATTTCTGTTAGTGTTCTGTCCTTGACATGGACAATATGATTGGTGTGCATAGTCTATTGCAGTGTTTTTCAAGTTTGGCAACTTCAAGATGTGTGGACTTCAGCTCCTAGAATTCCTCAAGACACTAACTGGGGAATTCTAGGGAATTCTGGAATAACTGGAGAATTCTCAGAGTTGAAGTCTACACATCTCAAAGTTGCCAAGTTTAAAAAACACTGCTCTAAAGTATAGTGCTTCCTGAGTAATTCTGTTTCAGCATTATTTATAAATTTAATGGTTCTGTAAGCTTGTTGGTGATGGGCTCTTATCATTTGGAGATCAACAGAACTTGTAACAATATTGTTACAAAGTATTGGGTGAAAGAGTGCAAATTATTGCACCTGAAATATTTTTATATTTTTTTAAAAAAATGAATCTATAAACAATAGCCGATAAATTACTAGAAAAATGTCACAATTGATACACTTTGTACACTATAGACCAGGGCTTTTCAACGGGTGGTACGCGTACCATTAGTGGTATGTTGGCACCTGGCAGCTGTTACGCATATGACGGGTTGAACAGCACTGTAAAAAAAAGTGTAAAAGTGGATGAGGTGAGGTGACAGCAGTGCCGCACAGGCTTGTGGGAAAGTCAGCTGGAACTGCACATTGCCTGGGTCCTACTGAGAGCCCAGGATCAAAGCGCGCAGCTCCAGCTGATTGGGGGCGGCCTTGGGGGCGGCAGGCAGCCTCACACATTCTTCGGGTGGAGATTCAGCTGGAAGCTGTGCGACGCATTGCTTGGGTCCTGCTGAGAGCCCAGGATCAGCGCACGCAGCTCCAGCTGATTGGAGGTGGCAGGCGGCCTCACCCAGTGTTCAGGCAGAGATTCAGCTGGAGCTGCGTGAGGCATTGCCTGCCTGGGACCTCGGAGAGCCCAGGATCAGCGCATGCAGCTCCAGCTGATTGGGGGTGGCAGGCAGCCTTGAGCAGTCTTCAGGCAGAAATTCAGCTGGAGCTGCGAGAGGCATTGCCTGGGTCCTGCTGAAGGGGAGAGAAGAGATGATATTAAAGGGAGTGGGGGAGGAGATGATATTAAAGGGGGTGGGGGAAGAGATGATATTAAAGGGGGTGAGGGAAGAGATGATATTAAAGAGGGTGAGAGAAGAGATGATATTAAAGGGGGTGAGAGAGGACTACCTGTACTTCATCACTTTTTTCCGTGTTTTTTTTTTGGTCATTACGTTTTTGACATCTTGCTAGGTGACTGGTGGTACTTGAATATTGCCGTATTCTAAAAGTGGTACAATCGGTGAAAAGGTTGAAAAGCCCTGCTATAGACGTTGTGTCAGTTTCCATTCACTTAGGAATTATTGTAAAATACAATCTGACCAGGGCTGCCTAATTTTTCAAAATATGTCATTAATTTCACTATGAAAAAGAATGGATTGGGGGGAAGAGTCTTTAGAGTTCTAATTTAGGAGGTGCTCCTCGTCTTGAACTGCATTGTTCGTTGTTTTTCTGAAGAACACCTTTTCCCATTTATTATTCTTTTTTGTATTAAGCAGCATTATCAGAGGTGAAAAGCCACCCAGAACAAATAATTTTTAGCATAAATACAGAATAGGCTCCTTTTTTTCCTAGAACACAAGTGGGCTTGTTTAAATAAGAAGCATACTTATTTAAACATGTAATTATTATTTTGTTTACATTTTTAAAAGCAAGAGAAGCTGTTTTTACATGCCAAGTTAGAATGCTTACATAAATTTAAAAACCATTTAATTAGGTTGCCAAACCTGGACTGCAAAAATTCTGATGACTGCTAGATATTAGCAAGAAAACCAACTCTTTAGGCTTCTTGCAGCCCAGATCTGGTAGCCCTAAAATGAACACAACTTTCTTTTTATCAATCAAATCATGTTAATTTCAGGTGGGTAAATTGGCAATGGACTTAAGATTTTTATTTTAACAGTAATGGTAAACTTGTTGGATGTTTTTGAAGTAAATTGAGAAGTTTCCAAACTCTGCAGCTTATATTTCCATTAGGTAGATAAAGGAATCTCTTTTAATGGGAAACTATTGTTTTTGAAATCTTAAAAGTCTTTAAAGGCTTCTCTTAACCCAGTCAAATGTGGAAAAAATCCTTGGATCCTAAGGATTAGATAAGTGTTTCTCAACCTCAGCAACTTTAAGATGTATGGATTTCAACACCCAGAATTCCCTAGCCAGCCATGCTGGAATAGTCCAGAACCCAGAATTTTCCTCTTTT